CCACGGTGCCACACCGTGGCGTACGCTCGGCTGCTGGGGTCCTGTCCCTGCAGGGCCTGACTTCCTGCGCAGCCGAGGCGTGGAGCCAGGGGTGCCTCGGAACTCGGTGTTTTATCTGTGACCAGCCTTTCTCTTGAATGCTCCTCTTCTAACCTCCTTGTTCATGAACTTGCTTTTGCCAAGCTGTCTGGGACTTCTGTAAACAAGCTCTCTCCGTGTCTCCATGTTTCTCTCCACCAGAGTTTATTGCCATGTACACTTACGAGAGCGCTGAGCAAGGCGATTTAACCTTCCAGCAAGGCGATGTGATTTTGGTTACCAAGAAAGATGGTGACTGGTGGACAGGAACAGTGGGCGACAAGTCTGGAGTCTTCCCTTCTAACTATGTGAGGCTTAAAGATGCAGAGGTAAACCCCGTTAACTGTTTCCTCCCTCTCTGTGCAGCGTTCTCTCCGCAGGGGGGCTCGGACCTTGGCCGGTGGAACACTGGTTGGGTTTGGCTAAGTTCTGCAGTGTGGCGGCTGAGACAGTGTGACCTGTCATTTTGAACTTGTCGTTTGGTGCTGCCCGGTAAGCGCTGGCTTCCCACCGGCGGAGAGCGACCCAGGCTGACGGGGCTGCATAACTGGCGCGCGCAGCGGGGGCAACTGTGTCCCCGTTCCTGCGTGTGACTCACGTCGGACTCAGAGTAACGCTCTTAATCAGGTCTTCACGCCACTGATTTGGGGCCCCAAGAAGGGGGCCAGCAGCGTTTGGCCGTGGAAGGGAGGTGTCCGGGTGGCCCTGCCCGGGAGACCGGCCGCAGAGAGCTTCTGAGGCTGACATGTTTGCCGACACAGTAGGGACACACAAGATCTAAGAGATCGTCATGCTTTTGGCCTTACTGTGTCTGTTGATGAGGGTCTGAGCTTATTTCCATGCTGTTAGAAGTGGGAAGTGCCCCCTTGTTGTTAAATGGGCTCTACAAGCTCTGACCGCTCAGTGGCCTAAACTGGTCTTGAGATGCTATGAGTTTAATG